TTGTTTCTAATCTAAATTGTGGTTTTGTAGATATAGAGATAGTTCGAGAACTTTTTGATCACCCCTCGATCGTACTAGTAGATACTAACACAAGGTTTTTCATATCGATTTTAGGTATTTAATTTCTTTGTGTTTCATTGGTGATAATTAAACTTGTGATAGATATTATAAGTTATCTGTGGCAAACTTACAAACTCTTAATTTTAAACTTTGATGGTGCTCATTTTTCCTTACCTGGAATCAAAAAGTTATTTCAATACGTACACTATTTAACAACTGTTCGATAATAATACTAAATATTTACATCTCCAATAAATTTCTCCTATGATTCTTTACAAAATAAAATGCAGTATATTTTCTCATGAACTACATTAGGTATGTATCACAAATAAGCATGAATATCTCCATTGTTACGTCATAATACCGATCTTGTCGTCAAAAAGTAAAAAAATATAGTGCACAGTTTTCTTTTAAAAATGACAGTTGAACAGCGTAGATTTATGGCAAGTCATCAGAAAAATAATGTAAATATAAGAAATGAATTTAATTTTTGAAGATTCATGAGGTATATGAACTACAACGCTTCACGCCGGCATATTTATCATGAAGCGCTAACGCGCTTCATGAAATATGCCGGCGTGAAGCGTCGTAGTTCATAACCTCATGAATCTTCAAAAATTAAATTCATTTCTTAAATAAATTACTTCAAGCCACACTATAACACAATTCCTCTTTTAAAAGTGTTCATATTATTTGAAATATTTTGCAACTGTAATTCTCTTCTACATTTAAAGATTGTTATGTCCCTCCATATTAAGAAGAGGTCTGGAAAACAAAATTCTGTGCTAAAAATAGACCACGTGCTGCTTTCAATGAACTACTTTCAGGGTTCTTTACACTCTTTTTGAAGACAACGATACCTTGTTTTGAACTTAAAATTATCATTTAAAAGTGCAAAATTTAGACATTTTCTCAACAAATGGTTGTAGAGAGAACATTAATGCACACTTTGCGTATTTTTTTGGATTTTTTAAGGCTCTGCTGAATTCTGTAGCTGCGCAGTTCTTAGGAGCATATCAAAAGCATTTTTCTGCAAAAGTATAGATTATATATGCACAACATGCATTCAGTTATGCATATTTATTGTATCTTTATCATAAGGGTTTAGAATTTGATCAAAATATAATGTACTTTAGCCATTTGAAGAAATGTTTACATTTTGTTCTCACTGCACTAAATATGGCCGTACATCCCCCTTAATTTAGTAGGTAATTTTGTTGGTTAAAACCCGCTAAGTTATTAATTGATTGTATTGATTATGACGTAATAGGTATCTGATTGTTTCTTACGTCATCAACTCATCATAACAATTTTTGTCTATATAAACCAGCTGTTTTGGGTTTAGACTTCAGTCGGCTGTGGGGAGCGACTCGGAGCACACAGCCTTCCCTGGTAAGGGAAAAGTGACCTAAGTCACTTTGGGGAACGATTCCGTATACTTCGGTTGTAAGACGGTACCAAGTCTATGTATACGAAACCATTAAAGGGACCAAGTTAGTAGGAACGTCCTGTATTGACCATCGGTTGGTCACCTTTTTGTTAACCAAATAACGTTGTACCAACCAAGTTACAGTGTACCATTCTGTGTGTTTATAAGTGAACCATTTGATCGTCTTAATAAATGTTATAAACTTTTAACAAGTGTTATTCCTAAGAAACATTGTTTAAAGTGACCAAAAGTTGGCCATTACGTTAACCTATGAAGTGACCGAAAATTGGTCATTACGGCAACCAAAGAAGTGACCAAAAGTTGGTCATTACGTCAACCAAGGAAGGGACCAAATGTTGGTCATTACGTCAACCAAATAAGTGACCAAAAGTTGGTCACTATGTCAACCAAATAAGTGACAAAAAGTTGGTCATCACGTTAACCGATCAAGTGACCAAAAATTGGTTATTAACCATTATATAGACTGTAACCAACTGAACTATCAAACCTCGACCAAGTGACCAGAAAAACTAATAGCGGCCCACGAGTTTCATTTCACGATACCCTCGGTCTCATTACAATATATATAAATATATGTCATAAATGGTTAATTTAACATGTCTTTTCTAGTTTTTAGGCTAAAGTAAATAAAGTTACCTAAGTTGCATAGTTCTTTAACATTTTCAACATTAAAAAGTTGCAACAATTCAAAATCTGTTATATCACCTAAGCTTGCATAAGTAGGAAACCAGCGATTTAGTGGACATTCCCCATATTAACTATTAATTATGGAGTATGTAAATAATTATTCTCCTTGATGATTGCGACATATTTCAGGAGCTGAAAAAAAGTGTAAAATGGTGATTGACGATGACGTATTTATTAGTCTTTGTGTGTCGAATTCCTTATTCATATGTGTGTATTGTAAATATACTGCCCCTATACAGTATATTTATGCATTACTACTACCGATAAGTATAGTGTAAGATAAATAATTTATTTAAATACTTTTACCAAAAATCATCCGAGTATCCGGGTACTCGATCGGAAGATGAAGCGAGTAACCGGTTACTAAATATCGTCCGATTTGCCAACACTAGTTGTGATACTATTGAATGTTGGTAAAAAGTAAACAATCAATAAATTATATAATTTTGGATGAAAATCTTTGTAAAAGGTTTTATTTTAAGTAAAGATGGTAACAGTAAATTCACAGTTCAGTATTATAAATCTTGATTTATGAAATTCGAAAAATACATTTTCACAAAAAATCATCGAGAAAAAGAAGTTATTTAGTTCATAACTTTATGATGAATAATTGGTATTTCAGATGACATTAAAAAACTACACTGCGTTATCCCTGTGCATATTATATTTTTGGATTGATGATTTTGATCAATTTATATTACATGAAGCCAAGACATACCTCTTTCCACCTTTTACTTTGTAAATAAGTGATATTTTAAATGTTTATCTTAATGTATCTCTTTGTTATTATTAAATTATAAAGGTAAAATATGGAATCAAATGTTTCAACACCTTTTTATGTAACAGTTATAAATTATTATCCCATATATATTGAAAGTTACCAGAGAAAGAAATTTCTAACCTTTTATCAATGTAACGGAAATGTGGAGAGAGTAAGTTTTTCAAAAATATATAAAGTAATTCTACACACGTATTTCAATATATGACCTTTATATGTTTAAGCACAACACGAGGTAGAATATATCAGGAAATGGATAGAGGAAGATTCGGATTTTGTGGAAACTCACGGCTTCCCTGAATTTCTTCAGAAGGTAAGAGAGCAGCCACATGTGACGTTTGTTGGAGTTCCCGAATCCGGCAAATCCGCCACAGTTCAGCACATTGCTCTTCTACTCCAGCAAGAGGGATACGAAGTGGTACCTGTATTAGACTTTAGAGATCTTACCCAATAGTGTGATCCTAGTAACCCTCAGGTGTTTGTTATTAATATTGTAGTAGGTGTACTGGGTGTGCAAAAATCAAAGTTGGAATCCTTTTTAGAGTACGAGCAAAAACTTATAAAAGCGTCCTTTGAAAAAACAAAGGTTCTGATGACATGCAGAGAAACGCTTTTTAATCAATGCAACAAATCCTTCTTCACTAATGAACAAAATACCATTAAGCTTCACAACTCGGAGAATGAATTGAGTGAAGATGACCAGAGGAATATTCTTGAAAACATGGATTAGACCGAGATTTGTTGTCCTCTGCAATGCTTACAGAATCCTCGCGAATGTTTCCTTTATTGTGTAAACTATATTCCAATGAAGCAAAGTTCCGAATCAATGGTGAACGCTTTTTTATCAGTCTCATCGAATGCATTGTCGAGGAATTTGACAAGATGCAACAACCAAACAATTTATTATATGCGACACTGGTGTTGTGCACACTAAAGAACAACATTTTGTCTGAAGACATTCTTAAAGATGTGAAAAATAGATGTTTTCAGGAAATGAAGCATAGGGTGTTAGAAAGTTGTGAAGTTAAAAGTTCAACAGATACATTTAAGTTTGTGAAAGCTTTCTTAGCGATGGAGGGGACATACACGAAATCTTGTGGTAGAGAGCTCACATTTATTCACGATTCTATCTTTGAAATAACTGCATATCACTTTGGTAGACAGTTTCTATACCTGATTTTAGAATATATGAAAAGTAGTTACATTGCAAACTGTGTCAAACTCATGGGAAACACAAAAAGGAGAAGAATATTGAAACAAATGACAAAAAAGCCTGGAGTCAACTTGTGCAAGCAGTGATGAAAAGCCTGAAATAAAGGAAGGTATAGATCTGTGTATAAGGGTTTCTAAAAATCAGTATCCAATGTTCGCTCAAAGGTTGTACAGAGATATAGAGAATATGGAACTCTACGATGTGTTTATGAATAATGCTTGAAAGATAATCAGTTGTGTAAAGCATTTATTAATGTACTGGAGACAAAATCATACACAGAATTAAAATCACTTTTTCTAAGTAAACAAGAAAACGCTTCCAAAGTGCTGAGATGGGAAGTCAAAAGAAGTGGGAAAAAAGACAAAGGAATTAACGACTTTTATTATATAAAAGAGCTTTTACTTGGTTCACGACTGTTCGAATGATCAGATTACAACGCGAGAGTAATCAGTTGGATTATTGGCTATGGACATCACAAAATACTTAAGTACATCATACATCAAACCGAACTACACAAAGAGACATCATCTGCACTATTTGGAAATTTAAATTCTGACTTTGAACATTTTAATTTGAAACCAAACAGGGAACCAATGCTAGTGATATAAATAAAGTGATAGATGATTTTGATGAAATATTTTCAGACTCTCTAAAAGTTAGCTTTGCATCCTTGTATCAAAAGGAAAACATTCAAAACTTTGTCATAGAACAAACCCGCTTACTTGTTCTCAATTGTTATGGGGGTGATGTGAATACTGTTAAGATCTTACTGAAACATGTCGATTTAAACTACTCAATCAACAGAACGCCACATGTCTACTCTCATTGGGCAGTGCCTAGGGGAACTGAAAAAATACCCCTCTTCATGTTTATTTGGTCATGTTTCTGTTGTAAATGAGTTGATAGGTGTAGGAGCTGATGTTAACAAACTGGGTCATAGTCATACACCACTGACAGCAGCATGCAGTGCTGGACATTTGAGTGTTGTGAGAGAACTTTGCAAAATGGATGCAAATGTCAATTTAGAGTGTAATTTCGATACACCACTAGTAAAAGCATGCAAAGGTGGATATTCAGGTATTGTAAAGGAGCTGATTACTTGTGGAGCTTCAACAAATTTAGAGTCTGCAAGTAATTTACCACTTATAGCTGCATGTGAAAATGGACATCTAAATGTAGTACAAATATTGCTGCAATCAGGGGCCATTGTCAATCAAAAAAAGGATTTCAATAACCCTCTGATATCTGCATGTAGTTGTGGTGAATTGGTTATAGTGAGGGAACTTTTAAAAGCTGGGGCCAACATTAATTTACAATGTGGAAGTATATGTACAATGGATGCATTGACAGCTGCATGTAAAGGAGGACACATTTCTGTGGTGACAGAACTACTGAAGAAAGGAGCAAAAGTTAATCCTCAGGGTCTGTATGATTCACCATTAAATGCTGCATGTCGTGAAAATCATTCCGATGTAGTCATTGAACTGCTACGAGTTGGGGCCGATGTCAATTCATTGCGTTTGACCGGTACAGCACTGATAAATGCATGTTCAAGAATTCATCCAAATTTGTCGTTAATAAAAGAACTTCTTGAAGCAAAAGCTGATGTCAACCAGCAAGATGATGATGGGAATACACCATTATTAAGTTCTGTTTTCGAAAAAAGGATAAAAGTTTAATAAAATATCTAATTGAGGCTGGTGCTGATATCAATCAACACAATAAAGAATGGTATACACCACTGACTGCTGCTTGTTTAGATGGAGATTTAAACCTTGTGAGAGATCTTCTTGAAATGGGGGCTTCGGTTAATCCACAGCAAATATGGATTGATCGTTTAAAATATATACAGATGGTTCGATTAATCGCATCTTCTTTCGGCATTTACATCAATCCAGAGACAATTTCGGGGTTCCTAGCGAATGGACCGGGTTATCATCATACAACACCACTGACAGCTGCATGTCTAAATGGCAATCTGATCATGGTGAGAGAACTGCTTCAAAAAGGGGCTGATGTTAATCCAAAGTATGTATGGAAAACACCATTAATTACTGCTTGTAAATGTAGACGATTGGATGTTTTGAAGGAATTGCTGAAATTTGGAGCCAAAGTCAATTTCAATCCTTGGCATCCAAGGAAACCAAATAAATACAAAACACCGTTGACAGTTGCCTGTAAGAGAGGAAAATTAGAAATGGTTAAAGAGCTTTTGAATGCAAAAGCAGTTGTTAATCCACAGGGTGCATATAATACACCATTGGTAGCTGCGTGCACAAATGGATTCGGAGATGTGGTGAAAGAGAATTACTTAAAAAGGGGGCTGATGTCAAACTACAGAGTAGATATAGCACTCCACTGACAGCTGCATGTAAAGGGGGACATTTGAATGTAGTGAAGGAGTTGATAGAGGCTGGAGCAGACGTCAATTTACACCATGATGCTGATGAAGATAATATGCCACTGATAATATCATGTAAGTATGGAAGCATAAATATTGTAAAGGAACTGATTGAAGCGGGGGCTGATGTTAATTTACAGGGTAAATATAGCACTCCTCTGACTGCCGCATGCCATTTGGAAAATGTTGATGTTGTAAAAGAACTATTAAATGCTGGAGCTCAAATCAATCGAAGCACATTATGGAATACGCCTTTGATAGCAGCATGTACAGGGCATAATGCAAACACAGTGAAGGTGGTGCTTGAAGCTGGTGCTAACGTCAATTTACAAAATCAAGAAGGGGAGACGGCGCTGTATAAGACAGTCGATAGCGAGAATCCATCCATCATTGTATTGAAAATGCTTGTCGAACGCGGTGCTGATTGTACAATTTGTACAAAATCTGGAATATCACCTTTATACCATACATTAATTAACAACAAGATGAATATTTTTAAGTTCTTTAAAAAATCAGAAAATAAACAACAGCAAATTAGAAAAAATCTGCATTTGTTCACCATACTAAGAGATATTAGGCATGCGGACGTGGCGACTGATAGTAAGGATGATGTGGTGTCAACGAAGAAACTAATGTGGGATCTAAAAAGTAATTTGCACGAAAAATTACTTCAAGCTGACTGTTATGTTTTAAATCATTTGCTGCATATCGGTCTTGATTCCAACCAAGATATTTTTATTCGCCAGAAACCAAAACAGTCGGATATCAAACCCTTACTTTTCAGAGTTATTGATGGCGATTTATTTTTAAATCATAATTCCATATGCCACGAGAAAACAGTAAGCATTTTACTTGATGCCGGAGCAGATGTTAATGTGAGGGTCAAATACACAGAGTATAACCGTTTAGTTGACAGCGAGGGTTTGTCCGCTTTAGAGAGAACAAACAAACTGATATATGAAAACAAACATTCCAAAATAGATCTCTTCTATAAGAGAATGAAGGTACGTGAATATCGAAAGTGTTTAAAAGAAATCAAGAAATATGTCAGAAGATACTCCATATGATTTGACTACAGGTAATTAACTTCTGAATAGCCATCCCCAACTGACAATGTTAAATTAGATTTTCAAATGATGTTTGATTCACTTCTCTGACCGACTGACAAAAACTGGTCCATCTCTAATGCTTTTTACGTTTCAAGACAAAATATTTTTATTCATTTCGTCATCTAATCCCGTAAACAAATTTGGTGAAATCTGGAAAGAAAATGGGGACTTACCTACCGACCCAATAACATAAACTTGAATCTGATTAAGGCACGCAATCAATATTTAAAAGATATCCTTGAATGACTATAACAAAGCCAGGTATTATGTTTCCTTTGGAGAAAAAGAGCATTAAATTATTTGCTAAACGTGTATATTACCTACAAAACCCATGGTCATTTTTGTTGAGAAACATAAAAATTTGAATACATGTAACAATAACAGTCAGCTCTGTATCATACCAATTAGTTTGCTTAATCAGTTAAGTGCTACAAATGATGTTCAATTTTTTAAAGAATGTTTTCTTATTCAAGCTATATCTTAGAATAACAAATTCCTGTTTCGATTGTATGTATGATATCAGTATGAATTTTAGGAAGTGCGCGTTTAAAGATGTTTTAAGCATTTTTGCATTTATATTTTCTGTATATTTTAAACTACATGTATGTAATGACATAAAATGAAATTATATTGGTCCTAACTTTAGGAGGCTGGGGTCAACAAATTAACCTTCAGATATAACTTGATTTTTTAAATATGTATGTTATGTTATTTGTCAAGTATCATTAAGCTAAGAAAAATTTCATACATATTAGTCTTTAAATTTGATAATTTTTGTTTAGCTTTTTATGGAGCTTTTTTTTTTTTTTAAAGAGATCAATTCAGTCTAAAAATGTTCCACAAATGTTCCTTCCAGCTCTCTTGAGATTCCTGTATCTTTTTCAATTTCCTAACATATTTTTAAACAATATTTTTTTATTAATAATTTTCATGTTATACCAAGACATTGTAATTTTAACATTTTAAACATACATCCTTTGTAAAAGCCAATAAATATTAAAGATAAAACTTGGACATAATCTCTTTCATTTTCAATGAATTTTGTACCATATGAGCATCTTAGTACAAAACTAGGAAATATGGTGTTAGAAGTTTCACTTGAGCATTTAGTTACGATGCAGGATGACCCTGCTGTTTTGAACTCTTAATGATTTGAACATATTTAAATTAACGCCATTTGAGGATGCTCTCACATAAATTTCATTTATCAACCTTGTATTAAACATGGTATTTCTATGTCAATATTCGAAAAGATACCTCAGTCAATAGAACACAGAGTAATTATGATAATTTATTGAAAAAAGATGTTTTGTTCAAGGTCAAAATGTCTACAAAAACACAAACACAACCAAAAGCAATATTCATCACTTGTGACGTCATCAAACGTGACGTCACATGATTAAAGTACTAAGTATAAAATACAACTACGTATTGAAAACAAAAAAAATGTGTAAAACACAATGCATTTCTATAAATAACGAGTACACAACCTTTGACATAAAGCAAATGATATATAAAAAAATATCTAAAATGTATCCAAGTTAAACATTTCACTTACAAATGTAAAGAAGAGTGGTTTATGTGTAAAAGAGAAATGGGAGTAATAAAAACAGGAAACTTTCCATTATACTTACTTCAGTAAAAAAATTCTTAAAATCCAGGATTTACATTTTGTGACAATAAGAACATTTTTCAAGTCTATAGATTAAAAAAGCTTATTTTATGGTGAAATTTAAAGAAAAGAGTTGAAACCATCAACTTCCAATTGTGCAAAGAAAAATATAAACCAAGGTGCATTACAACATTAAATTCATTACAAATGAAGATTCCATGTTGTCAATACAAGAGCAATTTGTCTTTGCCAGTTTACATTATTAAACTACTATGATGTATTTATCAATTAACACAAATGTAAAATAAAAAACACAACAGTTTTACATTAAAAATGATTAAGTACATATGTTTGTGGCAAAATAATACAGACATATACAAAATGATAAACAAGATATCAGCAGTACAGATCTATAAAAAAAAAACAAACATCTGAGTCGGGGTCTGTGTTCAATAAGATATTCTCTCCTGCTTTGTGTAATATTTATACTCAAATTTTGTAAACAAAGGACCTCCCTCTAAAAGAAAACATAAATAAAGGTAACTATAATTCTAGGTCAAAGTGTTGATGATGTTACTAAAAATAGCACCACTAACCAGTCACAAAACACAAGGGATCTATGTTACACAATATAATCCTTGTTTAAGTGACCTAAAAATGACAAATTTGATTTCATTCTCCTTAATAATTTTTGTATTTACAACATATTTAAAGCGTAATAAAGATCCATGTTTTGCCGAAAAAACAAGGCTTTGAAAAAATACAAAAAAATTGGTCTATTCATGAGAGATATACACTGCAGGTGTATATGGCTAAGGTTTGACACATGGTTTTAAGAATTCTAAAAACACTTTGTTATTGATAATATCAGGATATCTTCAATGAAGGTTGGATTTTTGGCTTAAAATGACAAAATGTTTCTTCATGATAATTATTTTTTACATTATCACAAATGTATATGTATGAAATGACAATCTCTTTCTTACAATGCAGGCACCAAAAAACAACAATGTTCTGGCCGTCTCTCTCACATTGACTTATCTAGACTAAAGTGAGGCGACGTGAGAATGAGGCCGATTCAGGTGGTTCATACTTCCACATTCTTTGTTATACAAGTCAAATGATCAGTTTAATATGGCATCTGTTGGCAAAGAAGAACATTGATATATTCTTCTACAGATTTACTACTGTATTTGTTGATTAATTAATGAGTGTGTTAATTAACAGAAATTTCACTTTCCTTTTTACTTCTTCAAGCAGTAACCACTCATATTTCACAGAGTTGGACTTTCCAATTTGGATCACATACTGCTCTTATTTCACGTTCACTTAAAAATGTCCTTATTTTGAAAATTCACTTCACTACCTCAAGCCAAAAATGCTTGTTTAATTCCATTTTCAATGCAATTTGATTACTGATAAACTGACTTTTTCATTCCATTTTGACATTATTGAATTACTCCAAGTGGAGAGTTCCAAATAGATGCCCAAAGACGTTTATTTAACATCACTTTCTCCCACCAGTACAATTGTACAAGGGTGACACCTTAATCCACAAAATCTTGTAGTAGAATCTTCACCCAGGTTTTCCTGTATTATACTAAGAATATTTCGTTTCCTGGGATTGAAGAATTTTCTGGGTTTATTTAACACTACACTACATTAGCTGACTAAGAACGAGGCTACACTTCAAAGTTCTGCTGGGTAATGGCATTCAAGTCTTTCATTAAACAATCCAGGTTCGCCATTTCAGCAGATAATTCTTCTGTGCTCTCTGATTTCTGTGGAAAACAAAAACAAAACAAGGTACATGTAGTTTAAATACTATATCTTAATTTCATCAATATAATACACATGTCAAGGAACATTCCAAAGAACATCTGGGGAAAGTTTCCTTACAGAAGGCACTCTTAAAATTAATTTAAAACAATAATGCTGATTTCTGTCCAGTATGTAGATGTAATTGTACATGTAATTCTCTCCTAAAACTGAGGCAAACTTGAAATTTTTAATTTTTAATCTGATTATGTTTCTATTTTAACCACCCCCCCCCTTATTTTACCTGTATGTCTGGGTCAGCCCCTGCTTTCAGTACGACGTCTGGAGCCTTTGGTTTTATGACGGGTATGGCACGAGGTTTTACAGGTACAGCTGATAATGGTGGCCCTGCCTTCTTATATGGAGATTGCTGTGGTTTTACTAAAACAGGAAAAGAATGCAAAGGTCAGATATACAAATAAAAATTTTCCATTCCAAGGAGTGCACTTTTGTCTCAGAGAAAAGGAGGAACAATTTTAAAATACTTTAACAATCTCACTTAAAATGGGTATCCTTGCCTTATACCAGTGAGTCATATAAATTATCTGCTTTTTATTTCCACATCAAAAACATGTTTAAAAAATTAGAAATTTTCTATTTAAAATAATGTTTATAGTGATTTTACTGTTGTAGTATTTAGGTATTTGGGTGTGGTGTGTTTGTTAAATGAATTTATTTAGATAACTTCGCTGTTGCAAGGCTTTAGAATTAAACAAAATTTTGTTTTGTCTAAATACCTGTTTTATTGAAAAAAAAAAATAAGCATTAGGTTTAATTAATTTCTATCTCAGCAATATTTTAGTTTCTCCTGTTGCAGCAATGTATGCACCTGAATCTTTATTTGTACCTTATATAATATATTCTATGGGTCATTTTTGCATCATTGAATTTTTATAATTTTAACTTCAAATCTGTGTTTTCCATGCATTTTCATGCACTGTATGTTTTGTAATTTCAGCCAAATTCTTGAGACACAAGTATCCTATTTTCTTTCTTGAATGTATTTAAAACAACAATTTTCTGAAAAGTAAACAGGTAAAAAACAAAAGTAGGTGGTACATTTTTACACATGCAGCAAAGCTATGAAAACTACATGCAATGACAATTTGGCCAACCACCTTTGAGCACAACATTGAGATAAAAAAAACATTACAAAGAAAAAAAAAAGCAAAATTCATATATGACAGATCTTTTTTGATATTAGAAAATTGCATCCATACTGGAACAAAAATTTTTGAACCTATCCCAATTTTTAAAATGAAGGGATACAATATATGTTTGTAGTTATATCTCATTAAGCAATGTTAAGCTCATAAATGAAGGCTAGCTAAATTCAATACATTCTAGTTAAAGCATGCAAAAATGAAGACACAGGACACATAATAAATCTCTGGAGATATTTGATCAAAATCCTTGCATTTCACAAATCTTGGGGTCCTTTCATAAAGCAATTTTTTTCTCTTTTTTTCATCACTAGAAAAATTTGTTTACTTAAAAAAGAGCTCACACAATATGGTGAAGGGCTTCAAATTTAAATCTTGACTTCTCATTTGGTGCCATTGAGCAATAAAAGCCCTTTGGATGTCTAAGCGAACCATGGCATATCTTCGCTGGCAACCGTTTTGTGATAAAAAAAAAATCCAAATTTGGATTAGAAACCCTTGGATAGCAAAGATGTGTCATAACACTGGACCCATTTTTAGCATCTAATCTCAAAGACAGACTGTTAAGAAAGGCAGCCTGCCTTGGGTTGAAGCTAAACAGTCATGTTTTATATCAACTGCTGTGAAATTCATTGTAGTAGTTTTAACTTATCATTAGAGGGTTTAAAAGGTTACTGGTTGGCAGGGAATGCTTACTTCTCCTTGGCACCTGAACCCCCTCCCCCTTTCTTGTTTAAACAGGGGAAGACTGTCCTGCACTTTATTCTTGTTGCTTATACTCTATACATGAGTATAGGATGTATGAGATTGATCTATGTCCCTCATCTTATCCTTTTTCATTTCTTTACAAATAGATAAGGATGCCTCTATATGAGGAATCCAAAGAAAAATATAAGCCCCAAAGTATTTTGTAAAAAGGAATGCCAAATCACACATCCAAAAAGAGTATCAAAATAGAAAAATTCTTCCTTGAAGTGTTACCTAAATCTACCTCATTTCTAGTGGTGAGGAGTCTTTAATTTATCCCCATAATCACTTTTTTGTGCAAAATAGCTTAGAAAAGGCTTATTTTGAATCTTACTATTTATTCCAGCTTGTATTTCTTTAAAAAATTTTAGTTTACACCTCTCTGTAGATAATTTATTGTTCAATGCTTGACATGCTTTATGCTTCATAAAATTCCAGCTTTTCGGTTTGAGGGTTCATTACTTGACTTTTCCCCTTAACATTGACACCATTTACATGGCAACTGGGGGTTTCCCGTCTTACCTATCTGATGTTTTGGGGTGCTATGGTGATGAACCCCTGACAACGGTTTGGGGTAATTATGGGGGTTCGGGGATGTAAAGCTTCTCATTGGTCGGTTTCCTCGGGGCAGACTTCGGTAACCGTCAAACTCGTGTTGTCCGGGCGATATGACAGCCATAGGCTGACCTTGACCCAAGGAGTGACAGTCAGGGGGCCTCTGGCCTGAAAAGGGAGGGAGGGGTCAAAAGGTCAAAACTAAAAATAGCAAAACTACAATATCAAATAAAAGCAAGGAATTACAATACCATCAATAAAAAATAAAATGCACAACAGTTAAAGCTAAAATTTAAAAATGGTATTGATAAGATAAATGATATGTAAATGAGAAAAGCATTTGAAGGATAAAGGGCTGCAGATGATTGATTGATATGATGGGGCTACCCGAAGGTCACCGATAGGTCAAATTAAAATGTGTTTATATATTAAGCTTATGTTTCAGATATTGAGTAATGCAATGATTATTAAACTGTTATATATTGATAATATATAATTCATAGGTTACAAAGAGCAAAACCTATTTCTAGGACAAAGATGTTACAGTAAATATTGTCAAAATAAAATACCCTGGAATGAAAAACCCATTTGATAATACAGGGGGAAAAATTACAATTTGTTAATTCAGATAGAATGATTAAGTTAACTCTAATAGAACTAAACTAAACTGAATTTTTTTTTTTTAAATCCATTAACTACTACTGAAGAAATGTTAATATTTACAGACAGACCGTTAAAGGGAATACAATATAGATATAGAGACTGACAACGGGAATATGTTACAGACAGACAGACAGACAGAGGGATACATTACAGACAGACAGACAGACAGAGGGATACATTACAGACAGACAGACAGACAGAGGGATACATGCCATAGCCAATGGATCTACTGGAAAAGGAATGGTCGTCATGACAACTGTGTAAGCTGGAGCTATCGTCATCATCAAAAGCGGGACGTTTGTCTGCGAAGCAAAAATATCAGGAAATCGTCACAGCAAAAAAATATCAGGAAATCGTCACAACAAAAAAATTAAATATAAACTGCTGGAACAAGGCTATAGAAAAAAAAATAAGGAAAGAAGAAAAACATACAGATTTATACCAAACACTAAATAAACAGTTGTATAACAGGCTTAATTAGTTCAATCAATCTAAATTGCATTTTATGCTTTGCAGTTGGAAAAATTTGCTGGGCACTTGTTGGGCACTTATTGTCAATTAAAAAAAATATGAAATCAAAAACTGAAAATTCTAACAACTCGCACACACAAACTACAGAAAGGAATTTCAAACTTTTTGAAAAAGTGTTTTATCAAATTACTCATAAAACTAATATATAGTGTGCAAATTTGTCAAGGAAAATGATTAAAATTCTACAACTTCATAGCAGAAAAAAAAAACAATGAATAGAGCAAATGGCTAATGGTTAATTAAAATTAACTCGGGTCTGTTGAAGGAGAACACCCCACTTTTTTATTTTGTAATTTTCTCAAAAGAATATTGAGAAATGAAATTCCTAGCTGATTCAGTACAATAAATTTACCAAACATTTGAAAATAAATATTTATCTAAAGTAAGCATGGTGATTGATCAAGAGTTATCTCCCTTGGCAGAGGATGTGTTCCACCTTAACTGAGCTGTATATAAGTTAATAGTGAGACACTTACATGCATACTCTACAGGAAATGCTTGAACTACAAAGAAAAGGAAACAAAACGTAAACCATGCAGCTCTACACAATATATAGTAGAAAAAAAATTGTCAGAAGAAATCAGGCCTATTTCATTTCGGTTTTGTTTGAGGTTCAACCACTTATGGTGGGACAAACCTGTGGCAATTTGTAGTTGTATTCCTACCCCTAAGGTTCTTTATATGAAAGAGAAAAAAAAATGTTCAACGAGTTCCAATTGTTTCACAAAATGCTTGTTTGACACAGCTTTTACCACTGTTAAAAGGAGTGTTCATAAATGTGTTGAATTGTGTGTAGACTGGGCTTACTCTCTGGGTTATAACAAGAGAGGGAGTGGGACAGTGGAGGACCACAATCAGTATGTGTGTCTGAGGGGCGGGCATCTTCATTTTTATGAGTGTATAAGGCCAAAAAAAATTAATAAATTGTTTCTCAGGCCAAAAAATTCAAAATTCAATGCAGCAGGCAGGCTTTTTTTTGAAACAGGTTTTGCACCTTTTTTATAAGTCATTTGTGCAGTTAAATGATAATATCTACTAATTCTTAAGTTTTGTTCTCTAAAATTAGTTATAACATGTATTCAACATTAAATAATGTAATTCCAAACATTTATTTAAAAGTTAACTGATAAAATACTTTAGATTTAGAAAATATATTGTTTTTCTAATAAAAACGTCTTTCTTAGCATTTATGAAAAGGGGAATAACTCGATTTTCTTTTTCAACTTGGAAAAATAGAAAATCGAGTTATTTCCCTTTTCAATATGTCAATAAAATTGATCAATGCGGCCGTTTTTGAACTGATGCGGCGGTGCCTGAGAAACTATTTATTAATTTTTTTTGGCCTAAGAAGAGGCTGCTCTCTTGCTCTGGAAAGTATTTAAGAGGTTAAAGAAAGGGGCCTGGGAAATTTGTCACTCTAACACAAGGTATTACTTAAACATGTCTTAGTTTGGCTTTCTCTCTAGTTACTGTTTATGGTTATTATGGTCAGACTAGATAAGAGAAGAGGAAGTTTACAAACAATTACTTGGGATGTTTTTACTAAAATGTGGGCAGAGTATGCTGTCTGGGACAATCTGAGGGTCTTGGAGGGGTAGAGGGGGTCACACTTCACACTTACTTGGTGGGGGTTGAGGTAGATCCCCAGCATTGACCCTGGGTCCCCCTCCACTGGTGTACTGCATGTTGTACTGGGTCCGGGGAAATCCCGGCCGTGATAACATCCCCGCCTCTCCACGGTCCATGTTCAACGCTCCATTAGGTAGAGCCGTCACCATGGCTATAGCTAGAAAAGAGAGCATTATATTAGCATTGTTTAATAGACTTTTGATACTGTTTCTATCCTATAGTCCTATATTTTTTTTCTTACGTTCCCTGGGTGGTGGCTGAGCATCAACAGAAATCATGAGAGGTTTGGTGGCCTTGGGGCGGATTATCCCGGGGTTAGGTTGTCTGGGGGGCAGGAACCTCTCCCGTTCTTCGTGATCAGATGGTGGATGATAGTACATCTCATCTAGTTAACAAGACAATGAAAAATTTATAATGTTTTAACATGCTTTAGTCAAATTGAAAGATTGTTCAAATTTTATTTGTAATCTCTGTCCATTACTTGAATTCTCTGTTCCTGTTGTCAAGAAACATAAAATTTTCACTTGAATTAACTTTGATTTTAAGTCTTACTTCTCTCCTCATGGTAAGGTGGAAGATCATCCATCGATCTGTAATCATTAGAACTCCGGCGAGTTGTGCTCATTGTCAAGGTCGACTCGCTTCTCTGACCTTTGTCTATGTTCTTCATCTCCATGTTGTCATGGATCCAGAGGTCAGGGGGTTTAAGGTCACGACCTTGACCTTTAGCCTTCAGTGGAGATTGCTGATTCTGTTGAGCTCTGCAAGATATTAGTAAGTTTTACAAGTTAGAAAGTTCATGAACTAATGTTAAGCACTGAAAATTTCTTTTTAATTACATGACAAATATAATGTTTGAATTCAAAGAAGAGCCTGAACATATTTGATGATTTACAAATAGCATGACAATTTCTTATCCAATGGAAAAAAAAAATCTTAAAATAATGAAATTCAGATTTTCACACTTTCAACAAGCATTCTGAGAGTATTGCATAAGCAATACATGTCCCCTACCGGGTTCCCCTTTTTCTTTAGGATGTCATTTTATAATATGCAAAAGTCATGTGCAAGGTCAAACTGAAAGATTTTCAAGTTGTAAATGCCTTAAAACCAATAAAATAATCCACATTAAGACGAAAATTCAACTCATTTCTCCACCGTCTTTTCCTCGCTTCATATTTTTGTCGACAATCGGAAGTTTGCGCAGTTCGAACCCGATCTTAATTAAGCGATTATGAAAAATATTCAAAATGCCATAATTTTTTAAAAAATCAATGAAGCGTAGCGAAATTCAAACTTGATCTGTAACTCATTAAGATACACTCGCATACCAAAATTCAGCTCAATATCTGAAAGCGTTTAGAAAAAAAGTGTGAAAAACCAAGTGGGACAGACTGACGGAGACAGACAGACAGACGGACGGACGGACGGACAGACGCAGAGGAAACCTATAGTCCCCTCCGGTTTCACCGGTAGGGGACTAATAAGTGAATAACTTTGCATATTTAACTCTGATGAGTATCATTGGGTTGTTGTAATACATACTGTCTTTTTAGTCTCTGTTCATTGTCACGTCTCTTGCAGTAGATGACGGCGACAACAATGATGATGATACAGAACGTCGCCCCAACGACAGACGCAATGATGATGTTCATGATTCCCGTAGGCAGCCCGCCTTCAGAGTTACTTCCCCTTCGTCCGTCACTATTTCCACTGTCTGTACAAAGATATAACATTTAACAATTCAGAATTTACATATTTACTGCCATACCTTACTATTCTTTTGTCTATTAATTCCTGACCATAATTATTTTAACTCAAAAAAAAAAAAAAAAAAAGACAAAATCAGAAAGACATTCCGATTTTGGTAACTTTAAAAAAGAAAAAAAAAACTAATATTAAAAGGAAATTTTTCAAAAAGCCTGAATATCAAACGAATCTTTCTTTTAAAAAGAAAAGGACTACAGTTACTGTCTTGTAATTTTGCCCAATGTATATCACCATTCTACTTAAAAAAAATGTCAAAAGTTGGACAAACACCAAATAATTTAAGCCCTTACTTATTATTTAACATGCATTCTTGGGTCTTACCAAAATTATAACCAGGTAAGGTGGGAATATTTACCTTCATTATCTGCTGAGGAAGACTGTGGTATACTATTGCCGGGTAAGATTTTCCCGTTCTATATGTCCCTTCTGGTTTGGGAGACTGGGGTATACTATTGTGCGGTGGGATTTCCCTGTTCTATATTTACCTTCTGGTTTGGGAGACTGTGGTATACTATTGTGAGGTGGGATTTTCCTGTTCTATATTTACCTTCTGGTTTTGGTAACTGCAGTATGCTATTGTTAGGTGGGATTTTCTCGTTCTATATTTACCTTCTGCTTTTGGTGACTGTGGTATACTATTGTGAGTTGGGATTTTCCAGTTCTATATTTACCTTCTGGTTTGGGTGATTGTGGTTTAGTATTGTGAGGTGGGATTTTCCTGTTCTATATTTACCTTCTGGTTTGGGAGACTGAGGTATACTTTTGTGAGGTTGGATTTTCCTGTTCTATATTTACCTTCTGGTTTGGGTGACTGCGGTATACTATTGTGAGGTGGGATTTCCCAGTTCTATATTTACCTTCTGATTTAGCTGACTGTGGTATACTATTGTGCGGTGGGATTTTCCCGTTCTATATTTATCTTCAGGTTTGGGAGACTGGTACACTATTGTGCGAGGGATTTTCCTGTTCTATATTTACCTTCTGGTTTGGGTGACTGTGGTATACTATTGTGAGGTGGGATTTTCCCGTCGATCTGTTGGGGATATTCGGGGTTTATCTGACCGCCACCACTGCCGTCCGCTAAAAACATGCCACAAACATTACAAAGGTTAGTAAACAGTGTCAGTACAGGAACGCCTCACAAAAGATCTCCATATACATAACCATCACTAAACTATAGTTCAGGGCTATAACATTTCACTGGTACGACTTTTACCCATAGCCTTACATCCCACAAACCAGATTTTTCAGGATCCTGAATTTTGATTGATTATCAAGCACCTCGTTCAATCTTATTTTCTTAGAGAAATTAAAGGTCGTTTAACTGGAACTAAATGTTTATTTAATAATCAGGGTTAACTGTAAAATCAATGACACAAAGATATAAGGTTTAGTAAATCTTAGATAACTTATAAAAGATATTTTGTGAGGAAGACCAATGTACCCTTCACCAAGCACACAATGTTCTCTTTTATACCGGGACTACATACATTTATTTCCTTTATCTTAAAAATACTATTGTGGTTTTCATATTCATATAATAAAATGTATGACATTTCAATAAAATATAGTATGAAAAATTTAAAGTTATCATAAAAGAATTTTAAATCTGTAAGAAAAACCATATTTAACTACATAGAATATGAGAACTCTTGAGGATCTCTTTTACATTGTATACATCTTTCTCACACCACTGTCAAATATTAATGAAATTAAAATGACACATTACATGAAATATCAGGTAAATGATATTTTAATCTTTAGCAAATTCTTTGACAGAAAAAAATAAACAATCTCTACAAGATCCAAGCTATTTCTTGTGTGATTCAAAGTTCAATCTTTTTTTTTTTCATGTTAACTATATAATCCTTTAATATATGTCTACCACCTTCAATTATATGGCAACCTATTCATTTTTTGCAATAATTGTTATATATAAACAAAATCAAATGAAAAATAATGAATTTCTTTTTAATAAATTCTATCACCATGTACACGTGCTGTAACAGTGCATAACCAGACAAAAGCATACAGTCTTATCTACATAAAACAAACCTAATGTCCCTACCCCAACACAAACAAAAGACATCACTAGTTTGCCTTTTCACCCATGCAATCATTTTGTTTGGGTCTTAAAGGATTTTGTGAAAAATTATGTGAAAAGGTCAAAAATAATATGAATGGGTCAAAAGATCTCAAATGATCAAGTCTTAACAGTAGATGTACACAATTAGGGTTGTCCCCCTTTTGTGAGATCTAATATTAAGTAGTTAACTTAAATTCCCACATTCAACACATGAATCTTCAGATAAAATGTTTTAACTGTTTAAGATATCTCATGTATGAGGATCTAACTACATGTACTTTCAAATAATTTCCTAAAATCAGCTGAAATAAGTCCAGCTTGGGGTTTAAATGAGATTTTTACTTTTTTCTGTTTTTCTTTTGACCTACCTGAAGCTATTCAAGTATCAAATGACCCACCAATACCTCTTGGTTGTCTGTTTACTGACCTTTGGGAGTTTTGTAGATGACAGTTTCAGACAGCGGTCCGTAGCCTTTACTGTTCCGAGCCTGTACTTTGAAGTAATACGTTGTGGATGGTGTCAGTCGTTTTATCGTCGCTGATAATTCGTCCCCCTCCAGAACTCCATCCACCACCCACGCGCGTAATTCTTGTTTAGGATCCGTCGTATAGAAAACCAGGTATCCTACAAATCAAGTTGATCCTGTTAATTCACTTTTGATGATTTGATAACCCTTATCATTAAATTAATTTTTCAACATTTAGAGACTTCACAGGTCAATCTGTATAAGTCGTGTTTCATTAAATATGCCATGTGAAAATTAACCCTTATCATTAAATTAATTTTTCAACATTTAGAGACTTCACAGGTCAATCTGTATAAGTCGTGTTTCATTAAATATGCCATGTGAAAATTTAATGTGATTTACAAACCAATAACTCTCACAAAACTTAAAAACAATTCCTCAACTGACATCTGCGGTCATCTCACTCCTGATGTTGATATACCTATAACCTGATGATGATTTACCTGTAATTTTTCTGGTCACCTGATGACCTGACCTTGACCTCTGATGTCACCTGATGACCTGACCTTGACTTACCTGTGATTTGTCCGTTCGGTTTGGCTGGGGGTTGCCAGTTCATGATCACAGCTCGGGGGTCATTTTCTTTGGGGACTGGAGTCAAATCTAGTGGCGGAGAGCCTGGGGCTAAAAATATGAAATATTACAATGTAATCCCATTGTTAAAGATAGCACCTTTTATAACATGGCCCTTGGTATTAGGTTATTTTACAGTGACAAAATGAACATCCTAATAACGAAATTCCACTGTATCTAAATAAGGATACAATATTCAGCAGGACCCAAAATATGTCAATTAAGGCACATGTATAATATAAATGTCCAAAAATTCAACTATAAGGCCCAAAAAATTAATCAATAGTTTCTCATGCCAAAAAAATCAGAATTCAATGTGGCAGGCAGGCTTTAAAGAGTTATCTCTCTTTTCAATATGTCAATAAAATTGAACAATGCAGCCGTTTTTGAACTGATGTGGCGGTGCCTGAGAAACTATTGATTATTTTTTGGGGGCCTATCCTAAAATATTTTTTTTGTGAAAACCGTTGATTAAAAAATTCAGCGTTTTACCTGCTTCTTGTGTCCTGTTGGTTTCCTTCATGCTCCAGGGACTCTGTCGACGACCTTTGATGACCTTGACATCAAACTCGTACCTGGTGTTTGGCTTCAGACTGTCTATATGGGCATTTAGGTCAGTAAAGTTCTGGTACCAGTATCTGAAATGTAACGGTAAACCATTAAGGTCAGTAAAGTTCTGGTACCAGTATCTAAAATAAAACGGTAAACCATTAAATGTTGGCAAAATTCTGGTACCAGTATCTAAAACAAAATGGCAACTCATTAATGTTGGTAAAGTTCTGGTACAAGTATCTAAAATAAAACGGTAACTCATTAATGTCAGTAAAGTTCTGGTACCAGTATCTAAAATAGAACGCTAACCCATTTGGGTTTGTAAAGTTCTGGTACAGGTATCTAAAATATAAATGGTTACCCATAAATGTCGGTAAAATTCTGGTATCAGTATCTTAAATGTTACAGTAATTCATGAAGGCTTAGAGAAGTCAATGTTTTGCTTGTATTTTGATTTGAGGCAATGTCTCCTTCATCAGTTCATGTATTTCTAAGCCAGTTAAAGCTCTGTCATTTTCCAAAATTTGCCAGTGATGGGTAATTTTGCCTGGCTTTATCATGATTTTACCAACTAAATATTCATTTGAGAAATAATCTGTAATCAAAATCATTTCCACCAGCTTTCCCCTTATTCTGTTAATGTACAAGCTATTTCTATTGAAAGCCCTAGCTGTAAATTACTACATGTGTACCAATTGTTTTTTACTTTCATGGGGATGCCATGCCTTAAAGTATTATCTGTACACAAGCTCACCTACTATTTTCACTCTACACGTAGGTCAAAAGCTCTACAGAGTTTATGTTACTTGTTTTAAAAAAATCTGACTGTAAACAAAATTTTCTGATTCTGATGGTGGCAACGAAGTACCTTACAACATGATCTGTACACAGACTGACCTGCTATTTTCACTCTCCACGTTGGTGGCCACACGATACCTCACTGTGTAGTAGCGGGTGTCCTGAACCATCTGATTGACCCCCAGTGTGGTGTCGGTCCACATTAAGACGATTGTCGTGGAAGATAAAACTTGTGTCTTCAGGCCAACTGGTGGCATCAGGGGTAGAACTGACTCATGCACTGGAAAAGAACACAATACATTCAAAGTAATACCACACACTCAAAATAACACAACACACTCAAAATAATACAACTCAAAGTTTATCTAGTGATATATATGTTGCAGTCAAAGAGGGTCTCCATTAAGAAAAACCCACCTCTACTTGTTTTTTTTCCAAAGATAGCAGTAGAGCAACTAGAGATGATCTACTTTTCTAACTCTAAGTGTTAACTCACTGTTATGTGGTATCTTAGGTGGTATCTTACCTGATTCTTTGGTGGTATTTTAGGTGGTATCTTACCTGATTCTTTGGTGGTATTTTAGGTGGTATCTTACCTGATTCTTTGGTGGTATCTTATGTGGTATCTTACCTGATTCTTTGGTGGTGGTGGCAGTGGTGTATCGGGGCGGTCCCTCTCCTTTGTTGTTTTTAGCTTTGACAGTTATCACATACTCTGACGAAGGCACTAAAATTATGTACACATAAATATTAATATTACTGACCCAATCATAGGAGAGGTAGCTGGAAGAAAATTGTCTGTTTAGCCCTGAATACCACATTCATCCATCCTCAACTTGCATGATAATATGAAACAATCAGATTCATTATGCCACTTAACAAAATACTTTAATATTTTATTATAATTTTCTGTTGTTCATAACATAAATATTAATGTAACACAGTAAAACTCTGTTATAACAAAGTCACTGGGACCAGTGAAATTCCTTCACTATATCCATAATTCGTTATATCCATATAAGGAACTCCTTAAATTTGTATAGTTGGGGATACAAAATAACTTTGCTCTATCCATGAATTCGCACTATCCGTGTTCATACTACGAGTTTTACTGTAGATACGCAATTACTAGTAATCAAATTAAATCATTCTGTCATTTAATTTATTGAGAAGTAATGGTAATGATATGTATACTTACAGAGATCTTTGATGGTGAAGACGTGAGTCTCCGGCCCGAAGTGCCTCTTCTCGGTGTCAGGGACGCCCTTCCCCCAGCCCAGTATGTACCCCCTGACCATGATCTTGGACTCGGGGGGAGGGGTAGACCAGGAGACACGTATAGAGGTGTCGTCCGTTGTCACGTGGACACGGCGGGGGGCATCTGGGACTTTAGACTCTGTCAAGACAGTAATAAAGAGTTTACATGGCATAAAATGTATGTCTAGTAGTATCTGTCTTTTGTGTACAGTGATCTATACACAGCAATTATTCTATACAGTATACATTTACTATTATTTTAGTGAGAAAAAATATCCAAGAGTTCTGCAAACTTCTTTAAATCACGAATATAAATTGCCATAAACAAATCATTTTACTTGGTATATGAAGAGAAATGTTTCCTCAGTCACAAAAAATTAATTGTTAGAAATTGATTTCAAACTTACGAATCATAAATAAAAGATGACAAATACATATATAACTGTTGGTTTAGAGTTTAATAGAAATTATGAAATGTGGTGATAAAACATGGTTACAAATAATTTCAAAAATTAGGAAATCAATTCAAACAAATTAAAATTATATCTTTTAGGTATGACAGTTTTATCTTTTATACTTATGAAATTTAGTAAAAAATTTTACAGAATCAATCTGAAACATACAAAAAAGCTTTTAAATCTTTAACTTATGAGTTGACATGTTCCCATGGTAAAAGTCTGTCTACTCACCGTCCAGGTCGTCTTTATACGTGGTGGCCCACAGTTTCTGGGTTAGCGGCCCGCTCCCGTTCACAGTAAGCGCTGAGATCCGCACCTGATACTCCGTATCTTTCTCCAGATTGGTCAGAGCATACAGTCGTCGGTTTCCGTCCGTGGTGACTGTAGCTCCGTTCCTGGATGCCCCCCGCGTCTTGTAGCGGATTTTGTATCCTGTTATGATTCCGTTCTGATGATCTGCGGGGGGTGGATCCCACCTCACAATCAATGACTGGAAAAAACAGAGTATTTATAAGCTAAATAAATAGTACAGGTATAAACACACACATCAATACAACACTTTAATTCAAGATATTCCTGCTGTTTTTAAGATAGTTTACTACAGTGAAACTTTGTTTTTTAAAATACAGTGAAACCTGTCTAATTTGACTTGCACTGCAAGGCAAATTTTATGTTGAAGTACACAGAATGTCAAATACTACATTGTTAAGACTATGTAAAAAAGTAAAAGTGGGAATAAAAATGAACTCCAGAATTCCCCATGAAATGGATAGCCAGACATCAGATAATACTCAGACAGTTTTCACAGTATAAATATCAAAACGTACCGTGGAACTGGCCGTCTCTAGTGTGGCATTCTGTGGCGGCTCTGAAGGTTTGTCTGAGAACGTTTTGGCGGAGATTTCCCTGGTACTCATGCCCTCCCCATTCTCATTGACAGCCACGATGTGGAACGTGTACTCCCTAAAGGCCATCAACCCTAAAGAAGATGGAGAGGTTATCATGAAATTTCCTATTCATCAATTTATTATATAACATACAAAGATTATCTCGCACTGATCATGAATATTGACAAAATCAAAATGACCGCACAATCATGAGACCGATCATAAAGCAAGTGTGACAGGTCAATGCTTTCTCCTCCATGGCATCTGCTCCCACCTCTGATGCTGTTACAGTCCCGATATTTGCTAAGCTCCTAATTTGTCATTTCAAAGTACGTTTGAGATTGATTGCTGTTTGTCATCTCCCTATTTCATTTGAATGCTCACTGCCCCAGAGTTAATTACTATAGATTCGTACCTCTCAGCAGCTTCTTGGTGTCTGTGACCTCGATCTGACTCGTGTGTGAGCTGTCTGCCTCTGAGAAGATCAGCAGGTACTTGGTGATTTGTCCCTTGGGCTGACGGGGAGGGTTCCAGGAGACGAGGATAGAGCTCGGAGACTGAGGGACTGCGGACACATCAACCGCAGGGCTGGGTACAGCAACTGTAATGTAATAAAATGTATACTTAGAGTAATGGGAGAGGGGGTGTTGGGTACCGCAACTGTAATGTAATAAAATGTACACATCAAGAAACTCCCTAATTTCATTTAAGACTGTCCCACTCACCATCTTTATCAGTGCGTACTGTAGTACGAGCGAAGTTACTGCTGAATCCGTAGTTGTTTACGGTTCGTACTCGGAACTCATAGCTCGTGTCTGGCTTCAATCTCGGGATATTGGCCTCAGTGTGAGTCGTGTTCAGCATCCGTTCTCTGGAGAAATTAAAATTAACCAATTCTTACGTCTTTCATTTTTATCAAGGTTATATATTAAAATTGTTTGGTTGATACATGTATATTTTCTAGCATTATGATTGAATGCACCTAAAATGTACATTTATATTCTATTAGTTCTAAATTAATTTACCTCTTTGCAAATCTTTTGGACATAAAAATACTGTACGTGTACATAATTTGGTGTATTCAAAATTAAGCATAACCACTGGGTATGGATTTGTTGGCGTAATCATAAATTAGTGCTACACATGTCTGTTAAGTGTATTGTATATGTAAATGATTTCTTAGCGGTGTTCATGAATTAGCGCATTGTTGTCTGAGCCAAAGCCACAAAAATATGAAGCCCGCTTTTTAAAGTTTACATACAGTATTGAGAGATCATCCTGTTTCATCTGATAACATTTAATTATAATTATCTAAAGGTACAAATTATATCCTTTTTGTGGCTATTGCGATGAATCAAAGGATTTTCAAGATTCCATACACATTATATTTTGAATGACATAGCAACTAAATCAATACATCGTGCATAACTTTATTTTTATCCCTGACCCTTTAACCCTTGACCCTACCTTGTTGACCCCTGTTCTTTCCAGAAGACAGAGTATCCGGTCACCTGTCCATTACTGGGCTGAGTCCAGCGGAGCGTGATGAAGCGTTTAGATATGATGGCCGCTGACAGATCGGATGGCTCCCTGGGTAGATTTGCTCCGTTACTGGAGTACGGACCAAAAAACTGATAGCTGTCTGTCGAGGAAATAGGGCCTGTAAATAGAAGGGAATGGTAAAGTTCATGTACAGATAATTCAAAGATGGTTAGCATAATACCCAGATTTACTTTACTTCTTAGTATTCAAAGTACTGTAGAAACCAAGATCTTTTTTTTTGTTTGTTTAAACAATAAGCTGGGTTATTTTTGTTGAGAAAAAAATTCTTGACCTACCAACCCTTCTTTTTTGGAAATGTTACAGGATTAACAAACATATTAATATTTTTTTCAGCCTTATATGAGTTAGTCTTTCTATCTATAACTTACCATTTGGTAACACCACGAGCTGAGCTATAGCTTGTATACTCCCTAGCTCATTATTTCCATGACACTGATAGAAGCCAGCGTCAGACGGAACCAATCCCAGAATCCTGAGCTCGCTCCCGTCCTCAATGACGTAATCAGAGGTTACTATGGCGCTGCTGTCCTTCGTCCAATAGATTCCCGGGGTAGGAGCACCGTCCAGTTCACAGCGAAAAATGGCGTCCGTCTTCTCCTCAGCCAGCCGATCTACAGGCTTTACCAGAAATTTGGGTGGAACTGAAAAATAAAACAAGAAATAAAAATCTGAAAGAAAATGAAATGCAACACTTTGAAAAGCCTGCATCAACACTGCTATGTTTTCTGTGTGATTGATCTGTACCCACAATTTCAACAGAAAGGGAATTACAATTCTCTTTTCGGAACAAATAAAGTCCTTGCTGTGAAGATGTTTTTTAAGAAGCTATGGACATATTGTTACACATGCTAAATGCTAGAGATCAACTCATCAGCTTATAAAATGCTTCCATTTTGTTAAAATTCTAGAGATGAACTCAAGATGATAGACATTTCATGTAATGATCATAAAAATTTACTATAATCATTTGTAACCAACAGATTTTTCGTTGATGACTTGGAAATAAAAAATGTAGCAGAATATACTGCTGGATTATTTTACCTAGGACAGTCAGTGTGGCCTCCGAGTCTATGGAGTCCTCCATGTTACTGGGCCGACAAGAGTACGTCCCTGCATCTGATTTCTGGACGTTAAAAATCTGAAGACTGCCGGCTCCTGTCATCTGAAGTCTGCCTTGTGTCAGCCTGAAATATAGACCATTCTACTTAATATCATACAGTTTATTACAATAAGCTCCTTATTAAGATATTACAGATATCATAGTAGTTTTAATCAAAGTGAAATAATTTTGGGTGCTTATTTGTGTCCACTTTGAAAATATAAGATCTATTTCATTTATTTTTTGTGTGAAAAATCCTTATCTAAAATCACAATGACATGATCAGCATCATTAGTAGCTTAAGCTTAATTGCTTAAAAAGGTTTTAATAATTTCCTTTTATTAATAAACAGAAAGTAACAGATGGAAGCAGAACTAGCTAAGTATAAGAAAAAAATTTCTTTCCCAAGATTATGCTCTGCTTTATTAGCTATTTGAAATTAAAATGTTTAAATACAATTGAAAAGTATTTAGAAGATAATGTTACTTACTATAATTGACGAAACTTTGTTAATTGCTGTTTTGAATAATATGAATAATATGCAATACTCAATTAAAATTTTAAAATAGAATAGCTAAATCTGCCAAAAAGATTTCTCATATCTGAAGGATACCTACAGAAAAACATGCTTATAGTTAACACTCTGATAATAAATTGATGCTTGAAGTGAAGAGAATTTTATTCCCACTGGATTTTAAACATATTTCAAATTTAATGGATATAATCAATGACATTTATAACAAAGCAAAATTGCCAATACTGACACTTCTTATCAAGCATGTTTTACTGTATCTGGATTCTACTGACTAAAGGTACAAAAGAACTAGATGTATTCGTGTATTTACGTGAAGTCTATGGTCAGTCCGTCCTTTAGCCACGTGATGACCGGCTGCTTCCCGAGATGGTCTCTCCCGTTAGCCCCACAGAACAGAACGGTGGATGACCCCTCCTGTATCTGAGTATCCAGGGGCGTGATGACAAACGACGGCGCCATGCCCTCCTTCAGAGATTCTACAAAACACAGACAATACACAACATGAATGTAGAAGACAATATAATATATGGCCCAGTGCCATTTTTGCCCTTTTACAAATTGCAAAAAACAATTTTACCCCATTTTAAGTTTGATCAGTCACAGTTCTGTGTAAGAAATTGTTTCTATGATCTTTGAATTTGCCCTGTTTTGAATTTTGTCACTTGTGACAATGGTGGAAGGGGCAAAAATAAAATGGGGACAAAAATGTCTCTGTATGAAATATCAACATAAAGACCATATATACATAAAAAAAAACAATAAAGTATATTAAAGAATAACTTGTGAAGAAGACAACTGACAATTAATTAAGAAGACAATTAAGACAAAGAGTGAAAAACAATTAATTGTGAAAACAATAAAAACACAATTAATGAAGAAATTTAGAGAAAAAAATCCACTTTCACTGTGGAATCTATATCACAGCTAGCCTCTATGACTTTACTATCATTAAATATATTGTTTAAGAATTGCTAGTCGTACCTATATGAAAAATTTAGCCTCCATTGTTTAATAATCGCTAGACGCATTTATATTGAGCCCCCATTGTTTAAGAATCACTAGACATACCTATATTTCCGTTCTGTTCCAGTTTGGCCAGACGACTGCTTCGTCCCCTCTCTATGTTCTCCACCTGACAGTAGTACGTTCCGAAGTCCGCGAACTCCACAGGATTAATCTCCAACACCCCGTCCGGATAAATCCGGATGTTGGATTTGACGTCACGTAACACGCTGTTGTCTTTGTACCATGTGACATTTGGCGCGGGCAGTCCGTCGCCGCGACACTGAAACATGGCGACATCCTGGAGATAGATCGTCAGATCCTGAGGCTGGATTAGGAAGTTTCTTGAAAGATCTACAAATCAAAATAAATCAATATTAAATTAAATTTTATAATTCACAAAATCATGAGATCTATGCATTCTGCTGTATACCTAGGCTACTATAACTGATAAATTTGGAATACAGTTTTACTATATGAAAATTTGTAAAATTTTAATATGATAATCAGGATATTAACTTTATTTTCGTCCTGTGTTATTTTTGCCTTTTCACACTTTGTCAACAATTTTGTCCCATTTTGAATTTGCCCAGTCACAATGCTGTTTAAGACTTTATACTGTGTTCTTTAAGTCTGCACTGTTTTAAATTTGCTCAACTGTGGGTAGGGTGAAAGAGGCGAAAATAAAATAGGGCAAAAATCTCCCTGTATGCAGCATCTTAAACTTGTGTTCCTTATGTGGATGTTTGAATAAAAAGTGTTGGCACTTTGCTGAAATAGTATAATCACATTATTATCCTCAATCTCATGTATATATTCTGTAAACATGGAAATTTTTGCCCTTTCGCCTTTGTCTCAAGTAGGCAAATTTAAAACAGTGCGAATCAAAAGAACAAAGTATAATTTCTTAAACAGCAACTATGACTTGGCGAATTTAAAACAGGCAAAATTGTTAGCAAGTGTAAAAGGGTGAAAATAACAAGGGGAAAAATAACCCTGTATATAGTACTTACAAGCTGTCCTAAGACTAGCGGTTCTGCTGACTATTGTCCCTAGGTTAGGTAGACTGGACATACACTGGTAGAGCCCCCTGTCTGAGTTCTGGACATCCGTGATATGTAGTGACCCATTGGACCAAACATTTCTGTAAGAAAACAAGTGTCTAATTATTAAAATCTAAGAAGCTGTGGTCAATGTCTTATGATGATAGTAAAAATACTCCAACAAGGCAACAACATATATTTGACTCCAGCGTAAAACCATTTTAATAAAATATTCTCCTTGTCAAACCCTCTTGGCCAGTGAGTGAAGCCAAGTTATAACATGTAGGCATTGTAGGGTAGATTCAAATTTTTGGAATGGATCAATTCAAAGTCTGATTCTATTACCTACAGATCAAAAAATTAATCGTCACAAACTTGTTTACCCCTTCCCCCATAAATTGTGAATTAAAGTCGTGAAAAATGTTGGTTTACAGTTACTATAATTATAAACACCAAAGCAACTCCATAGCTGGGTTTTTAAAAGTTTGTTATGTCAATATGAATCTCTTTCAGAAATTGATTTTTTTTTAAATCAATCATCTGGATATATGGTCATATATACCCCAGTTCAATCAGAGTCGTAATTACTAGCTAATATGAATTCCAACCAATGTCCCTGAAACTGTTTAAATCTTAAAATAGCTGGTCAGGTTAAATATTGATAAGTAACCTTTTCTTACAATAACTGGCCAGTTTATAAATCACGATAAATTGTACCTCACAAAGCTTAACAATGCTCTCATCAAGGATAGTGTAGTCTTTAATGTGTACTACCCCCCCCCCCCCCCCCTTGTCTCATTTCCTGTATTTATGGTTACGATTGTATATACTTCTCCAAATCACCATGCTTCATTCTATTTCCTAAATTGCAGTATCAAAATATTTTCTTACAAAGTGGAAGATGTACAAGTACATGAAATATTTTATAAAAATGTATTGACATCAGACGAGATTATAGCAGCAGATAAGACAAAATATATAATCTTGTTCCTCAATAATCTCCCCCCAGTAAACTAAGATCTGACTTAATTCCCACAACAAAGGAATCCCTCAAATTAACCATGTAAAACATCTCCCCCTCCGTCTCAGATAAAAAACACACATACTCCATCATAATTTCATATATCCGTGATATCTAAATGAAAATCTTTTCCTGATTAAATAATTATCCCCGGCTTCGGGGAGCTCGCTATGTCTACAAGATTGACTTTCATGTTTACTATTAATACCTCAAAGTCTGATAGCGTGAGTCACTCATTCATCTCTCTACCTCTCTCTCCTTCATTTTCTTCTGGGTCTTTTGTATGTTTTGACATTTCTTCCTGACAAGCAGAAGGCTTAAGCTTCTTTTGACCCTGACAACACGCTCTTCCTCCCCAACATAACATTTGAAGACAAAAAAGGCCCTTTAATCTCGAGGCTGAACATCAAAACATCATCCATAGAACTTAACACAGACACATGGATCTACTGAGATAAGCTTCTGTCAAATAGAGGCGGCCATGTCAAATTTTTGTTTCTAATTGGGAAATATTTTCATGTCTCCCCCAACACAATTTTTCAGCCCCTCTATCACTGTGATTAAGATGTGTTGGTGTTATATTGATCTGCGACTGAAAGTTGGCATATGTTCCCACAGAAGTCCTAATCTTTCAGAAATTTGGAAAAAAAATCTATCTCTGAAGATGAATTACTTCAGTAAGTTCTATGCAGGATATGTGGTTGAAAGAAATGATCAAAATATTTACATCTATGTGATGTGGATCCAAAAAGTTGTATAAAGGTCACTCATGACTGTTGCAGCTGAACACCAATGGAAGTGAAGTTAACCTGATATAACCCCCTTCCCAGACAGAACCTTGATCTTTAATAAGTATAAAATTTACATCATTCAGCTCTTGATTAATTAATATCTCCTTAAGATTCTACAAAATAAAAAAAAAATTTAAAAGTATATACCCTCCCCCCTCCAGTCACTTTTTCAAGTTATTAGAATTCTTAACATCATGCTGTGATCAGAGAACACATCACTAATCATCTTTTTAGCTTAATGATGTTAATGTCTTATCAAGGTGATCAAAACGATTTAAATAAGCATCCCTTCTAGAAACATGATAAATAAACCTAAGAGGTTTTCTTCTTTTTTTAACCAGGAATTACAGATAACTCTTTGGTGACCCCCAGATTCCTTTCTCTCTCTCTCTCTCTTTGTCTGTCTGTCTGTCTCAAGAATATATACACTCAGTGTTTTCAATAAGAGCCGGCAACCGGCAAAATTAACCGCCTGTACGAGAAATTTTGCCGGCTATGAAATTTCCGTCATTAAGATTTTGCCGGGGCTGATACGTGAAATCCATAGATTTTATCGCAACTATTTCCATGATTTAGAGTAGCTTCCCTTGAGTGCGCTCTTTTTTCAAGGAAGTTTGATTAGATCGATCGTGTCATGCAATGGCGGCGCGAACAACGAATATTTGAGCGAAGTCGTGGAGAAACGTGCTGCTGCTGCTGTAACACATGCGTTTGAGATCACATACATTAAGAGGCATAAAGAATGGTCCCTTCCAAAAAGAAATTTTTGTGTTTTATAATTTTGATTGAAAATTGATTTTGCGGCAGCCTTAATATCAAGTGAGGGGTTCCTCGGTGGAAAAAAACAGCAAATAAATATAATTTTAAGACCTTACGAAAAATGTTGAATTCTTACAGAATTTCCTCAAACTGAAAATCTCAAGTGTTAAGCTAAGACGTAATAATTACGAATAAAAGTCTTATTATTTTGATCGTGACTCAGACGTACATGTAGAAATTCTTGCAGAATTTCCTCAACACTGAAAATGTAAAATTTTATTCTCATTTATTCGTGTAAAGATATCTTGAAATACAGGAACAGTATCATTTTCACATTTGGGAAGGTTTTAATGTACTAGTATTTTGTATCAAATTCCAGTTTCTTAATTATTTTGTTCTGACAATCTGTACCAAATGAAAATGCCAAAGTAAATAAGTTTTAAAATAAATTTATGAAACGTCTAAGATTGCAGAATATTTCAATTTTTGGAGGGTACTATACATCACCAAGTGTTAAAAAAATTACATTTTTAACTAAATATTTTTTTTTTTGAATTTTGAATAAAAGACCTGACTAATTTATGTGAAATGGACAAATATGTAGAATTTTCAGTATAATATTCTACCACAGACAATTGTCTGTACTAGAATTTCATACTAAAGTTGTCTATATGTTTGTATAGACACTTAGTTTTCAGAAGAAAAAAAAACTCAGTCTGTCAAAAACTGCCAAACAAATCTGTGAAAAGGTAAAAAATGTTTTCTAATTGGCTTTTTAAGGTAAAATTTGCTAATTGATAGTGACAGGAATGTGAAAAAATGGTACTTTTTTAATAGCCTGAGAGGTAAGAAAATGAGTCAAAAATGCTGATTTTCTCTCGGCCTCTCTCTCCCCCATTTTCTACCAGGGCTCTGCCCTGTATGTGGGGGCCAGGCGGCCCCTTGACCCCTCGCCGAGACTGGTTTCCTGCTATTCCATCTATTTTTCCTTCTATTGAAAATCTTATTGAAAACACTGTACACTCACACAATACCAAACCTCGGATTATAAATTCATAAATAAATGAAATTATAGTAAACACATAGAGAATAATACATGTCAAAATCTGTATCACACCCCATATCAACCCGAGACTCCAATATCAGCCCAACGACTGAAGCCAGAAGGCTGATACTGGTCAAGGGTTGATATGGGGTGTGATACAGATTTTGACATGTATTGTTGTTTTTTTAAATACAAGATTTTCTCAGGCTTATTAACAAATTTATCTCATACTACATAGACCTAACAATTTCCTGTTATTTATTTAATTTACGTACACATATTTAATATCATATGATTAACATGATTCAGTTAATTATCCATATGAGCCTTATGAGTTAATTTTTCTTTTCTTCAACAGCCAAAGAAATTAGATATTAATAAATTCAACAAACAAGCATTGAAATGAAGGACTTGTTTTCTTCACAAACCATAATTCCCTTTCACTTCTGCTACGAACTATTCAACTGTTACAGTGCAAGCCTCAAATCAAACTGGATCATGTTTTCGTAAAATTCAGTTTTAACCCTTGTACATATAAAATTAAGATTTAAAATTAATTCAAAATTAAGACAAGCAAGAACCAGAACATTCAACTTCAGATTTTGTCCCCCTCCCCCTACTCCAGCATGCTAGAGGTTTACGGCGAGATACTTTTGACTTGGCGCCGCGTAACCTCTAGCATCCATTGTAAAAATTCTCGCCGCTGAAACCCCAAGTGGAAAAAAATTATTTTATAAAGAAATAAGGCTTTGTATATTAACGAATGGTACGAAATAATAAAATACTCAATATTTACGATAAAACTTATGCATTAAACACTGTTAACCTCTCGTATTAGCAATAAATTCATTATTTTTTAAATCGAAGCAGAAATTGAAACAAGTCGTCTGTTTACAATTCGGATATGGAATTCAGAAAAATCTGACGAAACGAAACCAGTGTAATGCAACGAAAATTTTGTTTTCTGACAAGCAATCCGTAAAATTAATGTGAAGTCAAATCGAAAGTACTTCTGGTGACAAATTGGAATAATGACAATTTTCATTAATTAACAATAATGCACTCTGAATAAAATGGATTTTATTATTTCTTGTGGCTTTCATACCCCATGCAAACACGTAGGTACCTGAAAATTACTTGTTAACAGTTTATTTCACGCATAATACGTTCCGCCCAAAATCTCAGGCGGAACGGCTCGAAGAAAATGGCCTTCGGATGTAAGAGTCCGAGGTATATAAGGAGCGAAGGGACATTAACCGAGGCTCTTACTTGTAGGAGTACCCCTCCCCCCACCCCCCCCCACACACACACACCCACCCTCCCAAATATTTATGATATAAAATATTTACTTGTTTGCATCAAGGTCCAATGGTTGCCCGTCCTTGACCCACGTGACCTTGGGTGAGGTGGAACCTGATTGGGCGGAGCAGTGGAGCGTAGCGCCTTCACCCCTGGACACCACAAGGTCGCTCGGCTCTAATAGGAATGTGAATTCTGTGAAACTTGGTATTGCTGAAAATATACAAACGTAGATATTTATATGAAAATCTGGATTATTCAACAGTCCAATCCACACCTTTGCAATAAAAAGTTAAGTTCCTTTTTTGCAGGGTCAAGTAAAAGGTCAAAAGGGAAAGCAATGACATTTCTCCTCATCATGCTACTTAACATTTAGGTGTGCTCCAATAATCCACTGTGTTTAAATTTTTTTCTTTCCATATATGGGTAGGGGCAATCATTATTAATTTATATATTTCCAGTCAGATGACAAAGTTATAATAAACCATTATACAGTAAAGTCTACTGTGGGGATTCTATAGGTCTTTCCTCAAAGATGACGGCCTAGGGACATATTAACTTTTGAAAAGTGTGGATTCAACTAGGTCTACAAATGTAAGTTAGAGCACAGCTTACACATAGTAACAGATATCTGACAAAACATTATGGCGGTTTCAACAAAAAGTTTTTCAATGTATTAGCTGCATAGATTCCCTATTCTACAAGTGCATCATGGACTGCATTTCATGCAACTCTGATAGATCTCTCTTTTCCTTAAAAATAGGATCATTTTCTAATTTACATTTGAACTTTTGTAAAATTTTGCAAGATTTTGTTTTGGTTTTAATCAATATTGGTAATCATAAGAAATAAAAGAGTTCCAAACTGACAGACGTAAGTTCAATGAAAACAATGAAAGACAATCAGAAATCATTACTTGTATGTAAATGGAATGCATTTAAAAATGGTTCATCTGATTGAAATCTTAGGCTTATTGATGGAGTTCTCATCTCTTAAAGAGGACAGTCAACAGTGTCAGATATATACATGTAGGCATGTTTTTATATCCTCAGATACAGTCACTCAAATACTGTGAAGGCGCATATAAGTTATATAACCAACAACAGTAAATTTTATTAATATTTTAACTGTAACCAAGAAGATTGCTTTCAAAAGATGACATTTTCCAGTGAGTTAAAAATAAAGGTAATGAATGAAATTTAATATTGAATGGCAAAAATTGTCATGATAAGCAGTGGCTACAATTTTAGGAATTTTGAATTTTATTTTTGTTAGGTTTCTGTCAACTTAGGTGAACTACCTGTTAAATGATAACGGACAACTTTTCATACAGTTTAATTTGTAGCAAGAAAGGAAAAAAATTCGACAAAGTTTTTTTTTTTTTTGAGAGAGAGAGAGATATTTAAATGACATAAGTATCTTTAACATTTGTTTAACAAATACTTTTACCTCAAATTTTACCAAACCACATCATTTTACCCTGCAAAAGAGCAGTACTGAAGTTACTGTGAAACGGTCTATAGTAATTAGTATTACCGTATAATCCCTATTAACCACCCCTGCCCCTACAAGTGCCCCTCTAGGTCTTTTTTTAATTATCAGGAAATAAGGGTCCCCTGTACAGTGATTAAAATCATCTAGAAAAACTATCAAAAGTCTGCCTGAGTGCCAAGATTTGAAGAAAGTGAAAATAATACTTTCTATAATCCAATTTCTTGGTGGAAAATGAATCATTTAGCATAATATGGATGGATTATCTTCACTTAAAGTAAAGTTAGACATATTTTAGTGTTTCTTTGAATTTATTTTTTTTTTTCAAAAGATTTTTTGAAATTAAACTTTGAAATTAAATTCTAGGAAGAGAATACCAAAATAACTGTCCCCTTTTCCATGTTTTCGCAATTTTCTTAGCACCCGGGACTGTTAATCAGTGATTATACGGTATAAGCAGAAGAACTGTAGCTCTCGGAAAAATTATATTGACGGACCGGAGAGCTACAGTGCTACCCACTGAAAAAACTGTATACTTATTGAAGTTATTGTGCACATAAAAAGTGTGCTGCTTCTTTATTTATTTTTCTGCGTTTTCAAACTGTCATCTCAGAATATAGATATAGTTTTCAACTGGCCTGAATTTAGCAGACGTTTCTTCCCGTTGACCACCATATTAGAGGTTGAAATAGCAAATATAAAAAATTCAAAATTGATTAAACAATGAAGGAATATGAGCATTTTATTTTTGAGTGCAAGATAATTCGGTCCAACATGCTTCTGGCAGATGTCAATCACGAGAGTACTTTGTAGACTAGATAGAATGTTCTATCGTTAAAATGATATTGTCCTACGGACCTGGTTTAACGATAGAATTCTTTCCGTGTATACTTAATGTAGCAAAAGAAACATAGGCGATAACACGTACTTAATATAACTTAGTGCATTTACTACGAACAATCTAGAGAGTTCCGAATGTAAACATGGCAGGTAAATTTGAAGGGAGAGAAAAACGTTGAGAAAATTAAATGGATTTTCGTCTTTAGATGGATTATTTTCTGGAATAAAAGGCATAAGCAATCTTAAAAAGGTTTGTTTTGATTAATTTGATAGTTACCCTTTTATATTCTTCAAAATCGTTTCGGAGCGGATCCGCTCCGATTTGCTACACTGCAAGTATAAGGGACATATTCTAACTGTGGTGAGGGCTTGTACCGAGACACAGTTAGCTCATTCTAACTATTTGTAGACGAGTAAGGAATTTTTTGAAACTAATCTTTCTTTTGATTCTGGTAAGAATTCGGAGGAATTAATCCAGAAATAAGCGCAACTTTTTGTACACAATAAATATTCAGTTTTTAAAAAATGTGTGGCACTGTAGCTCTCCAGTCTGTGACAGTGAATTTAATTTTTTGGAGAGCTACAGTTGTGCAGCTACAGCCAGGTCCAGCACAATACCCCGATAAAGGTATATAGCTTGATAAAGTTATATAGCTTTATCAAGGTATTTAAAATACCTTGATCAAGGTATTTTATGTAATGAAAATTCAAAAAAATTCTTTAAAAATTAATTACTGAAAGTCGAGTTCTGAGTTTTTGTCAGTAAATTCACCCATGCATGTAAAGTACTCAAACACAAACAAATCAGTAGAAAAACGTGTCGTGTGAGGAGACGTTATTTTATGCTTTCTTTTTGATACCAGAGTGTTTTTCATGCACGAGTAGACACACTGACAAAAACTCAGAATTCGACTTTCAGTAATTAATTTTTAAAGAATTTTTTTGAATTTTCATTACATACAGTACCTTGATCAAGGTATTTTAAATAGCTTGATAAAGCTATATAGCTTTATCAAGCTATATAACTTTATCAGGGTATTGTGCTGGACCTGACAGCCATGATAGTATTATCATATTTTATTCGATAAATTATTTAACAGTCATGTATCTCTAGTCATTAAACAAATCAATTAGGCTTAATAATGCTTGTATAAAATATAGCTCATTTGATTTTGATTCTTGTTGATTCAGTTTGATTGCACATGTAAACATTTACTCGTTTGTTTACACATTTTATATTGACATAAATATTGAATAAAGCTTAAGAAAAAAAAGACGATTTAAAATGATGCTAATTTCCAGACACCAATAATCTGTCTTACCCTGAATAAAATCACAAAATATCGCTGAAAAGGTCAACACACAAAAAACAACCCGACACTTTCTTCTGTGGAACAACCCCATGGTTTTTAGTTGTTGAATGATTTCCCCATTAAAATAAAATGTTTCTTTAAAAAATCACATTGTAGCAGATTGTTATGGAAGAACTCTGATCAGTAGAAACAGGGGGAAATCACGATAGAGTTGTAATAAATCCGACATATTTTTCTGTTCTCTAACCCGTCGCCATTTTTTTCACAACACAAAAGCCGGGGTCAAGTTGCCCATATAAGGAATGACCCCAATTTGCATAATCGTTAGACGGCGCTATACAAAGATGGACAACTGCGTCAATACCAAGGGAAATTCACGTTGAGTTACATATCCTGAAGCAATGGCCTGAATATTCTTGATCTGAACAAAGTACTGGTCTTTTTTTTCTTCAAATAAATATTTTATTTTTCGAAAAATATATGTGATAGAGTGATATTTTATTTATTTTATTATGTGAATATTATTTAATTATTTCAGCTACTTAATATTCACGCGTATTTTATTTTATTTTTTTAGAGCTGATATTCGCGGAGTTTTTGCGCGCACCGCAATAAAATATTACAACACTACTTGGTTTTTAATTTTACTTATGTTCTAGAAGTCTTTACTTATCCTGAGGGTATTTAATATTATTGGTCAGTTCTAATATCCAAGCTTGCGATTGGCTCGGGACGTTTTCCCGCCGATCTCTTTGTTTGATCTTTTAGACAGAGATAGACTATTGAGAAAGTTAGATCTATATTTTGGTCACCATATTGACATACATATTTACATCAGTGCATATTGATAATTTTGAGACGAGACCTCAGGACAGAGACTGTAAGTTGACTTCTATTTCTTTTATCTAATCTAATTCTATATTTTCAGATAATTCATCGTCTTTGATTTTTAATGTAATTTTAAGAAGATATACTGAGTTCAACTTTATCATTATTACCTGAAGCTTAAAGTATAAATTCTTTGAGTATGTGAATAAAACATCAGTAATGCAGTAGTGTATATAGAGTGTAATTATTGTTTAATATAGGAGAGTATATCAAGACCCATTATTTATCGGGTGGCCCATTGTTTTGAGCCCTGATCCACAATCAGGTATACCTACTATTATTTTCTATTAATTGTGTGTGCATATATTATTGTAAATAGATTTGTGAACTATTCATTCTACTGTAATAGTTCTGTTCGATTCATTTTCTTATTTTCAATACGTAGATGTTGTAAGGGGCATTACTCTTCTTTTTACATGTATTCATTGAGTACTCAGTATAACATGGTATAACATGTAATATTTTTATGATCTATTATTATAAAGTAAATCGTATCTATATTCATTAAGAAATAAGGTATCATTTTTAAACATCTATATCGGGATATAAATACGGGTTGGTCACGAGATTAAATTCCATGAAGCCCGAAGGGCTTTATGATGAATTTAATCTCGTACCAACCCGTATTTATAGCCCGATAGATGTTTTAAAATGATACCTTATTACTTATATTTACATTTGTGACTTATTCATACTTTATATTTGTCTGATTATGACTTTTAACGTGTGAAATGCATTATTTTTCAAACCCAACGGCAAGTATTGTAATCCACTGATCGCGCGTCGACCCTTTATGACGTCACTGAGAAATTACGTCAAACGGTTATCCAAACGCACATCTATGACCTCTTGACCCCATACCTGTATTTATACAGTTATATTTGCATATCCACTGCTCTCTCCCACTATAATTTAATTTTGCTTGTATTCTTGCCTCTCATTGGTTGATTTCCAAAAAGAAACGCATAACATTTTGTATAATCTGGTTTGGTAAGGGGACACACCCCCTTGACAACCAGCATAATCATCTGTATCCATCAATCCCCTCATTTCCAGTCCTTGGGATTCATGGAAAATTCCAGATTTAATGAATGTACCTTTAATTTCAAACAGTTACTCGATCTTACCTCATGCAAACAAGCATCATGGCTGCTAGATCTATGCATAAGTTTTTACCTCCCCTCGCTTCCCATCACTTCCGTTACTACGGTTGTATTATTGCGCGGTAAATTTGAACTCATAAAAACAACACAATTTTACATCCCCAGTTGAATAATTATTTTAAAATTAAATTATAAGGAATGATTCTAATTCTTGGCCAAATTATCGAGTATAATATGGTTTATAATCCGCCAAGCGGATTATAAAGCGTAAACTGACCCAAACCATATTATACTCGATAATTTGGCCTTTTTATAATCCGCTTCGCGGATTATAAAGCGTAAACTGACTCAAACCATATTATACTCGATAATTTGGCCAAGAATTAGAGTCATTCCTTAAATGAACCTGCAGGCTTCAACTGCGTTCATAGCACTAGAGACGCAACTGCTTCTGCTATGAGTGCAATAGCTCTATCACACTCGTGTAGAACAATCTCTACTAGAATTATTAATCGTGTTGAGAAGTATATATATGAAATGTTTCATGAGAGGAATAAAAATAAGTTTTTAATAATATTCTTTAAAAAAAAAGGAAATTCAGAATATTTAAAATTGCTGATTCATATCTTTAAAAATTTAATTTTGGTCAATGTATTTAATTGTATAATAAAACTTTTTAAAAATTTAGAGAACGGCTACATTTATATTTTTTCGTATCATGTATATTTGTACAAAGAACGATAACTCTTCACACTTGGGTAATAACATTCAGAAAGAAAAAAATTCTACTTCAAGAATGATTTCAGCTATTAAAAAAAAATAGAAAAACTAAAAAAAAATCAAAGAAAAGCATTCTGGAGTAATAATCATTATAAAAGCATTCTTATTTTTCATCATAGATCTAAATTATTGATTTTTGTCAGAGGGTTTCAATAACGTTGATCGATGACGTCACAACTGCATCAAAACAAAAATTAAGAGAATGTGATGACGGCGCTGCTTGTATCCAGATAACTGTGTTTGAGAGGGAAATGCTTTATAAATTGTTTGTGATTTATTAGAGAAAAGGATCATTGATCAGGTGTAGTGATTATAAAGCCGTATGTTTTTCATTACTAAAGACAAAAAGCTGCGTCCTTATGTAAGTCAGGATTTCCTCTGATATTCTTGAAAAACTCAAAGAATGCAAATATAAGTAATAAACAACGATTATTCAGTGAACATGGCATTATGAATAGCAATAGCTCTGCTGGCATATTTTCCATGATGCGCTAGCGCGCATCATGGAATATGCCAGCAGAGCAATTGCTATTCATAACGCCATGTTCACTGAAAAACGTTGTTTATTTCTTAAATAGATACACATTCCTTTCAGTAGTGTTATATAAAGGAAAACATTTGCAAATGTAAATATTGTATTATAAATGCAATATATTTGTTTTCTAAATACTTATAATCTGTTATTGATATTTTCAGGGCTTTTGCTTGTTATACAATGCATTAAACATCTTTAATAAATTATATATGAGAACCTGAGCCACAGGAGTTGTTCTTCTATCGAAACCCTGTTACATATAGACAAAGAAGGTTTGGTCATGTTGTTTGAAACATTATGTACACTCAGGGACCTATATACTAGGTATTATTATACTATATTATTTAGTATATAGGTCCCTGGTACACTGTACTACTGTACAGAGATTAACAATAACATTTTACAGGGTCAGATCTAAGGTTTGCTGATGCATGAAGCATATTGCTTGCAGTGTTTGTGAACAGACCCCCATTATTTTTATTAATCTTTTTTCATAAAAAAAAAAATAAAAAAAAATAATGTAGAAATTAACGTTTTAACAAATCATACCCGCGGTATATTTGTACATTTTATAATGCCGCAGGTGTAAAAGTTTTACGTTATTTTTTTTTATTTTCACGTGGAATACATTTAAATGTCTATTAGAATGTAACGGGACTGTCTAGGGGTTAGTCCCGTACATAAGTCCGAGTTCAAAGGATAAAAGAATGACAAGAATTTCAGTGTTTTAAAGAATACTATATTCTGTTGCAATATTTACAATTTACAAACAAACGTAAAAGATATGAAACAATATCATATAAAATCCAAGAATGCAATAATTACCATTATAGAAATTTAGCCCCAGTCCCCAAAAATACGTCTGATCGATAATTGATAATAATGTAGACTGCACTGAATACACAATATACATAACAATAGTAATAGTAAACCCCGGCCGGGTACTGTAGACCCGGGCGCGCCCAACCCGAAGGGGTTATAAACAAAGGGGAATAACTCTAAACAACAAGTAATGACAAATAGAGGGAAATATGAATAAAATAAGGCACATATACATAAATACATATAATTGCATACACATATAATTAAATATAGGTAAAAACCACCACACTCCCCCTTCCTTAAGACCTAATGTGGATAAAAATACACATTAGTCTACATATATATAATCACATGTATGCTAATAAATACAAGTATTACTTCAAAGTAACATACATTAAAATTCAATTATTATAAAATTAGAATACACCTGTTAGGTATCAACATTCAGAAACTTTAAGATAGCAGACATTCAATCAATTACATGTACTGTAATAAACACACTTTTTAAACGATAAATAAACAATTCCACAACTTTCACATATTTACACAGTTAATCGCATTTACTCCTCAAACAGCTTGTCCATCGCTCGCAACTTCCTGATCTCGCTCTCTAATTCCCGGTTCTTCTTCTCCAGTTGACGCCTCGTTTCCCTCTCTCGCTCCAGTTCCGTTCGCTCACCGTCCTTTATCCTCTTTTTCACCAGTGCTCTCGCTCGTCCTACTACGTCCATGCTGTTGCACAGCCACATGAGGCACGACTGCAATTCCTCTGAATCACCTGCCTCTGGGAGGTTCGGTAGGTCGAGGCTGGGTAGGTTCACCCATGTTGTTTGGGTCCCTGTAGACCGGTGATCTGGGACCTCCCTGTCCCTGTACTCCTGTAGAGTAAGCCTTCTCTTCTTGCTGCTGGTCTCCAGCTCTTCTTCCTTAAGGTCGGTTGTTGGTGCAGTGGGCTCAGTCTGAGTAGAACATCTACTCTCCACATCCACCGGCGTTATTCCATCATCTGTAGTGGACTTCTCCTGTTCCTGGGTCACTACTAGGTCAGTAGTTTCTCTCAGGCATCCGCCTCTGAATACATATAGACCTGGGTCTAAATAACCCTTGTTCTCCCTGTGAATCATCTCACACTTAGTGAGTATAAACTCCACTCGGTCTG